GCGGGACTGACCTAGGGTGAATTTTAAATAGGGACAATTTTAATGATTTTAATAAGACACAGCTATAAATATTTGGTTTTTAATTGGCTTTTATAGGGGAAATGTTTTATATTGTTTTAACATGCTGTGAGCCGCCCTGAGTCCCATGGGGAGAAGGGCGGCATATAAGTTAAATAAATAAATAAATAAATAAATAATAAATAAGTGAGTGGTGCCAATTTTACAACCTTTTTGTCATGACTTTTAAGTGAATCACAGCAGCTATTAAAGTGCACCGTGTGGTCCATGACCCCGAGATACCGCAACCATCATAAATGCATGCCAAGCTCTTTGATTTTGATCAAGTGATTATGGGGATGCTGTGATGGTTGTACGTGTGAGGACCAGTTGTAACTTCAAGCAGTCACCAAACGAATGGTTCTAAGTCGAGGACTCCCTGTATAGCATGGATCTGCTTCTGTGCCTTTTCATTACCCCCAAATAACACGGAAGATCGAATCCAACTTGGAATGAATTGTTTGTTCCCTCCTGTGCCTCTATATGTATTAAGTTTCCCTACCTGCGATCTGCACTGCAAAAAAGCTTCAGCTGAACAGAAAAGCTCTTTCTCCATTCCCCCCCCCCCGCCCTCCCCCCCAAAATCCCAAGTTTTTAGCCAACCCTTTCTGATTAAGGGGAAAATAAGAATATAGTTGAGCTCCATGCATTATAAAGAAAAGTTTGGGTCTAAGAAAATGTAACTGGCTTCTTGTTTATTCTCTTCCCTTCTCCCATGTTTTCTTCCCCATACATTATGAATTTCCATCTCCTAATAACCCCTCCTTTTAAATAAGCATTTCCGGACTTTTCTAAATTCGCCTATCCGTCATAAAGAGTACTGAGTTCATGCACTAAATTTAGAGTTAGGTACAAGCTCCACGCAGAAAATGAACAGCGCAGCTTTAGAGTTCCTAGTCAAATGTATATGTCTTAGGTTTCTTATATTTATCTTTTTTTTTTTTACAAAGTTTCCTCTGCAATAAAAAGCCAGGTTTAAACACAATGAGACTGAACTGCGAATATTTCCCTTTTTTTGGAGCTATTTTGGCAGGGGCAAGAGGAAGATGCTTCCGGTAGCGAGATTTGCTAACTGGGTTTTATTAAACAGCTTGCTATTACTTCGCAGCAAAAACAGTACGACGCGTTTAGTTTAAACAGCAGTATATTTAAACAAGTTGAAACCAACCGGAGTAAAAGTTGTTTAAATTAAGAAGCATTTCTAGTCTGGACATACTTATCAGGCAGGACAAGAAGCAATGAATTGGAAACTAATCAAGGAGAGAACCAACGCAGAATTAAGGAGAAATTTCCTGAATGTTAAAACGATTAATCAGTGGAATGGCTTGCCTTATGAAGTTGTGGGTGCTCCAACACTGGAGGTTTTTCGGAAGAGATTGGACAGCCATTTGTCGGAAATGGTATAGGGCAGGGGTAGGCAACCTTGGCTCTTTTATGACTTGTGGACTTCAACTCCCAGAATTCCTGAGCCAGCCGTGCTGAGGGGAAGGGAGAGGTTTCCAAGCTGAGCCATGCTGGCTCAGGAATTCTGGAAGTTGAAGTCCACGAGTCATAAAAGAGCCAAGGTTGCCTACCCCTGGTATAGGGTTTCCTGTCTGAACAAGGACTTGGACTAGAAGACCTCCAAAGTCCCTTCCAACTGTGTTACTCTGTTATGAATTCCATTTAATTTACATCAAGAACCCTATCTAACTACTAAGTTCTAGAGCTGTAGTTATTGATTGTGGCCATGGGCCAGAAGAAATCCTTTGCAGCTCTAAACTGCCCTTGGGAAGAAGTGATGTAGCACCAAGTACACCCCCAATTATACTTTTTCTTAGTCATTTAGGAAACTACTGTATTTATTCTCTGCTTGTTCTTCAGAGCATTCCGCCACATCAGGAACCTGCTTTGCTTGAGGTGCTCTCTCAAAGTTTCTTCCAAAGCAACGGAGCCACCTCACTTACATCAGTGACCAGACTTACAGGTTGCTTACATCACACTGTTTTACAGCATTTCGGACTTTCTCAGCAGCACAGGCCAAACTTTCTCTAATGATGCTGAAGGAAATTGCTGAATTTCTACCAGCTCAGCCAAAGAAATCCAGACACCCTTCCCCAGATCTCTGACAAAAGCTGAGGCACGAGGAGATTCCCCTGGATTGCTTGCAAAAATTTAGCAACTGCTGCAGAGAGTATACCACTTGCCTCAGCAAAATGATTTACCGAAGTCCTTAGCAAATGTGACGGAAAATAAATTTTGGCAGATCAAACCAGAGATTATCTGCAGCATAGCCCAAAGGAGATTCTGTCCAAGAGCAATAATGGGACAAAAAGCCTTTTTGGTTTTTCCAATGGACAGGCCCCAGACAGAAAGCTTTGGTGCAAAACCCAGCACTTCATAGACACAAATTGCAACAGCTCTTTGCTTTGTTTCCTAAGTGCTAGCAATCTGAGGACATGTGTGCTCTCCTATTCATGCTATCTGCTGGTTCTCTTCTTGGAGCCTTCCATAGTCCTTCTATAAGTTACGACCTGCTTCACAAGTCTTACTTGAAGGATGAAGGTACACAATATCTTTCACTGTAAAGTCTCGCCCTCGCGTTCCCTTCAGACAGTCAGCAATTAAGCTAAGGAAGAGGAGCCAGCCCAGCGTAGGCCAGGATTCCATAGCAGAGAAGGTGCATCGAACATGCAGATGGCATGAAATCAAGTTCTCCTTGTCACCAGAAGGCCCAGGAATCTAAGAAACACACAAGGAAAAGAAAAACAGGTAAGAAATCAACAGGTAACCCCATACTTGCATAATTCAGGTGATATAGTAAGACTGAAAACCAACACTGATCCTCAGGCAACAGTTCTACCAAGCATGGACACCAAGCATGTCAGATATCTTTTACTTTTCATCTTACAAAACTTGATCACAACAGAAAACAATCGCTTTGTTCCCGTTGTTTTTTTCTTACAAAACATCTTGCCTCTCCAGTTTAAAAAAAGTCTTGGCTTGCAAGACTAACAATAGGCATTCCCTCAAGATCTTCAGCTACTCTGCAGAAAGGCCAAAGCTAGTATCTAACCTAATTGGTCACACGGTGCATTTCTCCCTGCACATATATGTATTATCCCCCATAATGATTTGGCAAGACAGCCTTACACCATGGAAATTCACCAGGAGTAGCCAGTGGTAACAAGTTCCCAGTGCGCACATATGTGCCTGCAATGTACAGCTTTCCCTGTTCATTATTCATGCGCATCTAATCCTCTCGTTTTAAGCATTCCCCAATGCAACATAAATGGGAAGCTTAACTCGACTTCAAATGAAGTGGCATGTTCTTTTTTCGCGCGGCAAGGTTGCAGCTCTGGCTAGTATAGCCGTCCCTATTCTTTCTGCCGCATTTCAAAATCCACACATCGTAAAAGACATAATGAGCTCTTCAGATTGAAGCCAAACTCCATGTCTCAGACATGTATGCTCACACCACTGGTCAATAACACCCAATCTTTTATTTAGTAGTTAGAATCCTGAAGTCCACTGTGGGCTATTGTTTTAAAAATGCTGGCAATTTTGCGTGTCTGAGTTGTTATTAATCCAAAGAGATTAGTGGTTGGTTGGCAATGAAAGAAGAGGAAGATTTAGTGCGCTCATAAGCTGTGTGAGTAGTCTTAGCCACAAAAAAAGGCTGATTTCTTTTACTTTAAACACTCTGGTTTAGCACATCAAAGTTATATACATACATGCATATAAGTCCGTCCACAGATAAGACCACCATCAAATTATAAAAAAACAATACCATGAAAAATGAGCCACCCACTGATAAGCCCACTCTCAAAAATGTTGTACATTTTAGGTTTCACGACTGGATTTTCTGCAGCTGGCACATTTTTTCAATGGTATTTTGGTTAAATATTTAATGATAGGATGGAAGTGCTTGTTTAGTACTTTAAATTTGCCCTTCGCTACAAAAAGAAAGAAAAAAATTAAATTCTAATCTGATGGGATGTTATATCACTGGTTAGTCTGCCCACAACAATGTCTAGGCCCTAGGCTGTAAAAATTATTGCTCTAAATTATGATCATGCTGCTAATGGAATTCCTCCACCATTCCCATCCCATTTTTATTTCTAAAGAGAATGAAGCAATGTCTGAGGCAGACACACAATTCTCAGAGCAAGCTATTTATTATCCCACAATTGGTGTTGCTCGAATAACAAAGATATTTTTTCAGATATTTTTCTCTGAGGCAATTTCAAGCCTTCTTTAACTTTGTCTAAGAACCATTGCGTATTAAATTTAAACAGGACATTTTGGAATTACCTGTTATTAATTCTGCTATAATTATGTTCTCAGCTCAATTAGCGCTCTCCAAAAAAGATGCAAAACAAAAGCACAAGATCTCAGAAACTGATCCCAGACAGATCTAAGATCTTTCTGAAGGGCCAAGTCTTGCGAAGAGCACTTGAAAGACCGACAGATATGAGGCAAAAATCTTTCTGAGGAAGGGATCTGTTCAGACTGACAGCACCACCAGTATTGCAAGAACATGTCAACAAGTTCTTGATGTGGTTGTGCTTATTCCACAATTATGGTTGTATTCATACAATACGAGTAGTCCTCAACTTATGACCACAATCAGGACCAGAATTTGCATTGCTAAGCAAGGTGGTTGTTAACTGAATCGCACCCAATTTTACAATCTTTTTTTGCCATGGCTGCTAAGCGAACCGTAAAACACATGGTCATTAAAAGAATCCACTGACTTTTGCTTATGAGAAGCCAGCCAGGAAGATTGCAAATGGTGATCACATGACCCTGCAATCGTAAATAAATGCCAGTTGCTAAGTGTGCAAATTTTGATCATGTGAGCGTGGGGATGCTGCAATAGTCATAAGTGCAAAGACCTGTCCTAAGTGATACTGTTGTAACTTCGAACAGTTGAGAAATGTATGGTTGTAAGTCGAGGACCACCTGTATAAAATAGCAACAGCAAGAGCACTTAGACTTATATACCACTTCACAGTGCTTTACAGCCCTCTCTAGAAAGATAACTCTGAATTATATACATTTTAGATTTTGAATTAAATTAAATGGTGTTAGGATGCTATCATCACCAGAGTATAAATGCATAGTTTCTCTCTCTTATATATGAGAGAAAAAGATGTATATATATACAATATAGTGTTCTAAATAATCATTCTTACTAACTAGTCCCATGATGCCACAAATATTGTTGTTATTGAATTGGAAATAAATGATATTAACATTAGCTGAACTTGTGGGCTTTATTTGGATGAATTCATACAAAGGTTTTTACCATTCAGTGATTGAAGCATCAGGAGAGAATGAATATGTGTAGAATGGCTTAGCAGCAGATCAGTTTCTATTGGGAGAATCTTAGATTATCTATTATTATTGGAATAAATTATCTGAATGTAATGGTATGTGGAAAAAATACCACATACCACTACCAATATTGGGAGACAGGACAAAGAGATGCAGCCAAGGAAACAGATAAAAGCCAGCTTAGCCCCTAGTAGGATTGGGGCAAACGTCTGAGAAGGGACCCTCCCTAGTTTTGTGGGTTGTAAATAGCAATAGCAAGAACACTTAGACTTATATACTACTTCACAATGTTTTATAGTCTTCTCTAAGTGGTTTACAGAATCAGCATTTTGCCCCCAAGAATCTGGGTCTTCATTTTACCGACCTTGGAAGGATGGAAGGCTGAGTCAACCTTGAGCCCCGGTCAGGATCGAACTCATGGTAGTGGGCAGAATTAGCCTGTAATATGGCATTCTAACCATTGCACCACCACGGCTCTTTTCTTTTAAAAGGCGTGAATATGGTTCCAACACATGTTTTCTACAAAAAGAGCTGACTAGGAATACTAGATACTCTGTTCTACAACGCTGTAGGGAAACGTGCTACAGTAAAGAGGGCACAACCTTATGAATTAAATGTACTTCTGGGTTATTGTCTTTTGAGCTGATGTCTCTACACTTATTAAAGCCCAAAGTAAATCACAAAAGTAGCTCTAACTAGCAACCTAGCTGCCAAGCCTCTACTGACACTTGTATTGTAAAAGCTCGAAGTACAATAAGCCAGAAAGGCAGATCAAAAGACCAAGCAGAAGCATCTCAAGAGAGAAGAGAGAACAAGTGAGTGTACTAACATTGCCACAGGGCAAAGCTCTTAGAACAAATTGTATGAATGCTACCACCAACTCCCACTGCCTAGAAAGTCAAGCCATCTGGGTTTAATCCACAGCTGCTATCACAGTGAAGGCATGTTGACATACTGAACTATTTGAAAGTAGCATGTGCAAAATAGTTCCTTTTATGAAGTCAACAAAGCAAGAACAGGTGGGAAGGAATAAAACAGAAAGGATAGGAGATGCCAGCCCTTCTTCCTTATGATAACGATATTTTATTCTGGTCATAGTACATGGCCACCAGGTGCAGGGTTTCTTTTCAATGCCAAGAGGACGAAAGACCTAAAGATACAAGAGAAGAAAAATGAACTATCAGAAGAATACTGATCATTAAACTATAGGTGAATCACTAGAGCAATGATGGCGAACCTTTTAGAGACCGAATGCCCAAAAACCACCCTGCCCCCTGCCCCTGCTCTGCCACCCGCCCTCAGGGTCACCTACCACTTCCACGGCCCACCGCAGATCACCCAGGCGGCCAAGCAGCACCATGGCAGCCATGCCCTCCGCCCGCGCCCCGCAGTATCATCTGCGTGTGACAGGGCATGAGGGCGGAATCTTGTCCCCGCTGCCCAGCTGCCATGTCCTTGGCTGCGCTGCTCCACATGGGCTGCACCTGGGGGCAACTCTCCTCCAGGGGGGCTGCTGGTGAGAAGGGGGCTGCGGGAGGTGGCGGGGCTGGGGCGACGGCGCGTGTGCCCACAGAGAGGGCTATGAGTGTCACCTCTGGAACACGTGCCATAGGTTCGTCACCACTGCACTAGAGGGATGACAGAATCAAAAATGACGAGAACTGGTTATCGCATGTTAATCCCGGAATGAAGTCCACCATGGATATTCATTCACATTGGATTTTAAAAGAAACCCATTAATCATAACCATTAAGATTGAAGGGGGAGTCAACTCTTTAGAACTCAAAATGTTTATGATGCTAGTTTTCCATCTATAATATTCACTGCGTGGGGTGTTCTTAATCCTACTTTCTTTCCCTACTTTTGATCTTTTCCATGGTATTTTTCTCTTTCAACCATTTGAGACTGCTCTAATACATACTTTCAGTTATCATTTAATTCTTTTTTTTTCATACAACCAAATCTTTATAAGGTTCTATCATTTTCAGTACAGCTACTACATCTGTTCTTCAACCCTTCCAGCCAACCTGTCAACCAGCCTGCTCTCACAAGTGGAGACTGAAACAGGTAGCAATTTTCTCTCAAGGAAGCGGGCTTAAAATAATTAGATTTTTTAAAATGAGTTAGGGCAGGGGTATCAAACTCAATTTCACTGTGGGCCGCATCAGCATTGTGGTTGCCCTTGGGGGTGTGGGGGTGTGTGGCCAGAGTGGGTGCAGCCTACTGGGTGGGTGTGGATGGAGTGGGTGTGGCCTACTGGGTGGGTGTGGCCTACATCATTCGTGTCAAGGGTGCCTGTGGGGGCCTGGGCAGGAGTGGGACAGATCTGA